CCTGGTAGTTGGTGTAGCGCAGGATGCGGTGGTGGACGTCCAGTTCCGTCAGCGGCCTCGGCTGCACACACAGTCCACCGCTCCTCTGCAGCTCCAGGAGGCGGGACTGCACCTCGGCCCAGGACACCGAGCTGAGCTCCTCCTGAGGAGACGGGACAGGGGAGCCTGGGGACCTGTATTCCCCTCCACAGAGACATACAACCTCTATGACCCACTGAGCTTCCTGCAAACCCTGGTGGCGTCTGTCCCCACCTTAACGTTCTGTCTACTACCCCTTCTGCTAACAGAAGCATTTCTCCTTTCTTTCTGCTTATCACTGCCGCTCATGTAGCCATTAGCCATATGCTTCCTGGAGATACCTATTCAGTAAACTTGAGGGATTGGTTTTCTTTGTTGAGCCCGCTTCAATCCCATGTCTAAAAGAATGGAACCTCTTCTCTCTCCTCACTGCTTTCTACCTGCACAAGCTCTGAGAACTACGGTTGCACCCACCGCACTCCAGACCGCTCTGCAATCACCTCACTAGCTTTCCCACAGCCCTGCCTGCCTGCCTGCCTGCGGCTGCGTCTGGGGGAAGACAGCACTCCCACACTTCATTCGGAGGGACCCATGTGAGCCTCAAGCCTCACTTTAGCCCAGTCTTCCCAGTGCAATTGTTTCCTCAGGACAGCCTCCACAGCTCTTCCCAGCACAGGGAAAGAGAAAGGGAGGTCAAGAGGGAAGAAGGATGGGGTGAACAGCACCACCAGTGCCTTTGTCTGCTGCTTTCCTACTCCAAAGGCTCTTGACATCCAAAGGGAAGCAAGAAATGGGGACTAAAGAAGATGTCGGAACAATAACCCTGGGGACAAAGCTAGAAGGAACATGACCAGTGAAGTGGTCAAGAGACTGGCTTTCATTTCAGGGGCCCTAGAAGGCTCTATTTCAGGCAAGCAAGCCCATCTGCACTGCCCACAGTGTTTTCCTCACTTCTTGCCCAGAGGCTTGGTTGGCCTAACCTTCTTCACTCAATTAGGATGCCTCCTGCTTTAGGAAGCCCAGTGACAGCCCTTCCTCTAAACAGCCATTGTTTTGACGACCAGCATGTGACTGTAAGTCACAGTATATGACCCATCAGAGTAAAGGAAGTTCCCCAAGAGTCAGAGCCAAGTCTGCTAAGTGCCAGTGCCTCCTGACATGACTCAAGGCCCAGAGCAGGTGTCATTCAGCCTCCATCTTTCTGCTCCTCTCAGATGGTCCTTCCATGTGTATGGCCCCACTTTCTCCTGTCCTCTGCCCATGCTGTCACAGCAGGCTTACTGGGGGAATGTGCAGGGCCTCCCTGTAAAACACCTGGATGTCCCAGTAGCTGAAGAGGTTGCAGACTGAACGAAGCAGCTGGAACAGCCAGAAGCCAGCAGCCAAGACGAGGAGGAAGACCAACAGAGGACTGTCGTGGACCCTGTCGTGGACAGGAAGGGTGACAAGAAAGTGGAAACCCACAGAAAGAAAATGGTGGCAAACACCTGCAGGGCTCAGTGGGGCTGGGGGGGGGGTCCTCAGTGATCTCGGCAAAAGAGCCTGCAAAGTCAACACTTTTCACAAACAACAATCATGCATTCTGCTTTTCATATGCTCATTCTCCCATGGGTGTACAATGGAGTTTCCCAGAAGCTACAAGACAAGTGAAGATGTCACATCATACTGACATCCCATGCAATGTGCATCCCTGCATTCCTAAGTTTTAAAGTTGTCCTCAGGGCCAGGGATGTGGCTGACTGGAACAGCACTTGCCCAGCATGCCAGAAGCCTAAAATAAACAATTGTCCTCACCATTAATTTCTAAGAAGGTAGACAGAAGTGTGACTCATAACACAAGCTCTTTGAAATTCTCATCAACTTGAGGCTATGTTTGTAAATGTGCCGAGCACTCTGAGAGTTGATCTAGACCAAGGGGCAGTGTAAGGAGGTTCCTTTCTTCCATCCTTTTGTGAGCTGAATCCAGAGAAACCCACCAGACTGTCACTTACTTCTCTGCACACTGGGCTGAGGGCAGAATAGCATCTGACAAGGTCACTTTGCTGTGGAATGGCCCAGGTCTTGTTTGGTTCTTTGGTTGGTTGTTGAAGAGAACATTGTAATCCACACAGCGAAGGAGGAAGGTTGTGAAGGTGACGATGAAAATGAACTGTCTGAGAAGGACGTAGGACACTGATCAGGCCTAAAGGCAAGGTGGACTCCCCGCCCATCTGCCAGACAAGCTGAGGCTCTATATGACCCCTCCCTCACCCTTCACGGCCCCAAGACCAGAATGGAAAAGGAGAGGTGGGGCATAACCCTGGATTTGGTCTCCAGCACCACTAAACAGGGTCTGGTAGGACACGCCTGTGACTTTAGCACGTGGGAGGGAGAGGCAGGAGGAATAGGAATTCATGTCTATTCTGTAATACATGAGATCCCAGCTCAAAAACAAAAACAAAACCTGAAAACAGGAAGACAGAACAGAATTTAAGGACAGGAATGGCTCTCACCCCAGCAGGAAGACGTCCTCCAATAGGATGCAGGCAAAACCATTCCGCTGGTGGAAGCTGTAGATGTAGCAAGTTTGTCAAGAAATCTAGCTGTCTATGGACTCTTCCTTAAGAGATGTCCCCCCCTCTCCCCTGACCCACAGTGCCCCCACCATGACCCTCTACATGTGGAGCACAAAGGATATCTTGGTGAAGAAGCTGTCCAGGTTCTGGATGTGATGCCAGGAGCCTGGGTACAGAGAAACCATTACAGGACTTGGCATCGCCACCTTGGTGATTAGCTCCTCTACGCAAACCCAAACCTGCCTGGACCTCCGACCCACTCAGTCTCCCAAATGCCCCCACACTTACCACGGAGTCCTTCGGGCACATGAAGCAAGGGTTGATGGTCCTCTCCATGGAGGGGTGAGTCTTGGGACCCCTCAGGGTCACAGTCCTCTAGCCGTTCATAATCCTGCTCAGGGATCAGAGGACCTATCCGCAGCCCAGGATGGTCCTGGGAGGACCGGCAGGAGGGAGGGGGAGTGACCAAGGCCAGGGGTGGGGTGGAGTGGGCCCCCCATGAGGGGGGAGCAGAGGCGGGTGTCATTGTGGGGTGGCTCTGTGTTGGGGGTGTGGCTGGGGTGGGTGTTGGGTTGTATGGAAGCTGAGAAGCCCCTGCCTCCTGAGTCACCAGGCAAGGAGACCCTGAGGCAGGAGGGAACAGTGAAGAGGAGCAGCTTCTTGTACGAGGGGCAGGGGACAGAGAGAAGACAGAGATCCTCCCTCCCCCAAGTCCCCGACAT